CTTATAAGAAGCTCTCTTAGCGGGGGGTAGTACGTATGTTCCTAGGCAGCCTGAATTTCAAAACCCGTCGTTTCACGCTTTGAGAGGAAAGCTATGCCCCTTGGGTGTTTATCTTATCGCTGTCGCAATTTCAACTCATCTTTGTTTTGTTTGTCGCCATTTCATCCCTCTTTCAGGCCAATGTCGCTTGTCGAATTTCACCCTAACAGGGCTCTTGTAAGACAAACACGTTACACACTAAAATCATTATAATTTGAAGAATGCTATGAGTCTAGACTTGCCCATTTTAAACTGACCTCAAAATAAAACCATCGTTCTTTTTAACACAGGTTGTACGTACATTTAGATTACCATCTGCGGAGAATGACACTGACAATTATGTTTGATGTTGGATGACTGATGTTAGATACCTGGGCCTGGAGGGAAGGGGGGTAATTCCTTTAATGGCCTATACGGAGAGGCTCCCGAGGCGGGGGGGGGGGGCGGTATTGCCATATGTGGGCTATATAGGTATGTGCCGCTGTGAAGGGTATGGTTTTCAAGCAGTTTACTCTAGGATAGGGTATACTTCGCCCGAAAGAGGCACCTTTTTCAGGCCTCAGGTATATATTTGAAAGAGAAGGGATTTCACTAGTTAAAGAATATAAAAGGTTAGGGAAATCTGTCATTTGGGTCTGTAAAGAGGGGCTTACAGATGCATTTTACGGTTGTGAAAAAAAAATGGTGAAAACGTCTGGTTGTGGGATTTATTAATATTTTAAAGATAGTGTATTTACAGCAGTTTAAAGGGATGCAAAGTTCTAAACTAGGTATGTGAAAGGGCTACAATTTGTCAACTGAAGGTATACAAAAGGGGTACTGACCTTTTCTGTCAAAAAAGGTATATAAAGGGCAAGGGCTTAGTCCGCGTTGCGAAGCCTCCCGGTGTAAAACCTTGTTGAGTACCCCCCCTTCACCCCTCTGGATGCGCATTTAGGAGTGTACGTACGACTGGGCCAATCTGATCGGTCTCTAGCGCTTCTGGGGTTAAAAAGTCACTTAAATGAGCATAACCTCATCCCCATGGCTTTTCATTGAGAAAAAGGGAAAGAGGTTGGAATGAACCACCTCGTCTGGGACAAAAACTCGGTAGATACACCGCGAACGTTTTCAATGGCAGACATTTTAGTACAGTCTAGCACCTCTCGCTGTTGTGTGACGTAACAAACTCTGACAGTGACCACCCCTTCTCCCCATCTTCAATGCCTGTCGTTCTGTCGAATCTCATGGGTTAGGGAATGGGTTAGTCGTACTAATGAAAATTAATGAGGAGAGATTGGGGCGGAGAGGGGAAATGACCTATGACGAAACGTATAGCCTGTGAGCTTAGCTAAATGGTTTCCTGTAAACATATCAATAACAACATCCCATAGATCGCTCTCTTATTAAACAAAGAGCATTTTTTGTTTTTTTTGTAGGTGTGCTGCTTAACTCCATGACCAATAATCAAACTACTGTACATCATCGTCAAATGACTGACTCAATTTCTAGGAGGGAAGTCAGGGAAATATCAGCTGCAAGCAATGAGATTAACAGCCGGGAACTTCACTTCCGTTGCAGAGGTCGATAAATCATCCTTTACAGACAACATAGTCATCATCACCGTTTCGACTTGGCTGTTTGTCATCTTTTGTTTGCTGCTAATTTTCTACTACCACTGGCAAGTCTGCCAGTACATAGGAGCACGGACCGGGAATCGCCAGAATAATTTTCTCTCCAACTTTTATTTAAAGCCCTCAAGGAGACGAAGGTAAAACTTGCTGATATATTAAAACAGACCACCGATCACGATGCTACTACCGATCAAGAGAGTCTGCAACTCTCTGTTAGCTAATGTAGCGCAGTACATGGATAACAGGATTGAGTTGAGAAAGATTGAGAAATATTTAATACTTAGTAATTATGGAGCATCACAATTCTTGAGTGGATTTCGTCAACGAGAAAGACCGTAATTTTTGACAAGAGTATGTTTGAAATGGATCCCTTGTCACGTTAGTATAGTCGAACTGTACGGAAGGGAAGCACAAGGCTCTGCTCTGACGTAACATTTCCCCCTGGGCCTTTTTTTTACCGAGATCGAAAACTCAGTGACGCTCGCAATTTACTGAATTTACACAACTAGATCACTGTTATTTTTCCAGGCAACAAATGGCCCCGTATTTTTCTCACGAACAATATTGCGAGTGATGTTCACGAGCGCGAAAGCCAGTGAAAATCGCACCCGGTGATCTCCGACCCTTCCCATCAGCTCCCGACTGACGCTGAGAAAAATTTGGGACTGCTTGTATTCTAGTACTTTTACATCGTCATACGATCTTAAACTCATTCCAACGTTAATTTATTATTTCTCCATCTATTTTTATGCGTTCATATCTGATCCCAAGTTATCATACTAGGGAGTGATGAGCTCAAGCTGTTGCTCTTATTTTTTCAGTAAATTCAGGAGCCGATTACTGGTAAATTAAAATTTAGATATATTTATTAACATGAAATTCTCAAAATAAATGCATACATATTCTGTGTTATAAATTCTCAACCAGTAGATCTTCTTCAATCCCTAAGAAATTTCAGATTATTTTTCCCGGTCTAGTCCTCCACGAGCCATCAACGGTTCTTTTCTTTGGCTAACCCGAGGTATTGCCTGACGAAACTGGAACGGCTGTATGCTCTTGTATGCCCTACTAAGATTCTAAACCACTGAAAGTGGTTAATTAAGAGCATTTTATTTGGAACTCCAACTTTTGTCAAAAAGACCAAATAACTGTTTGTGATTCTCTTCAGTACCTTCCTACCAGGGGGCTAAAATATACGACCCTACCCTGGCCCATTTTCGAATTTGTTTCCTCTATTGAAGGGACAGCTCTATTCAGGGGAACTAACCCACTATTTCTGGGTCCCCAAAACCCGGGTTTTACCTCAGTCCAGGGAACACCTAAACACTCAAAACGTGACTGACCACAAAAAGGATTTACTAGTCACTAAGTATTATGACAGATTTCACAACATAACGTGATCCTTGGCAACCTGGCGCAGTGATCCAGAAGCTGATCTTCAATGCAGATGGTCAGGTTCTACTCTCGGCTCAGCTGTTTTTTTTTCTTTGTATTAATTTTTTTTTGTCTTGTTTTTGTGTTTTTTTTTTTTAAATCATATTTTCCCATTTGGTTGTTTTTTTTTCGCGAGGTTTTTGCGATAAACGTATTTCTAGTAGTGTTTATTGGTTTCTTCTTCCACTGTGCATGCATTGTATATCGAGATATAAAGCACTTGGAAAGTTAAGAGGGCACTCAAGTAAAGTTGCCAGACGATCACACGAGAGCCGCACAAATTTGGGGGTTCCCGCGCGAGTTTGTGACTTTGTGAATTGAGGGTGGCGCCGTTTGTTCTAAAAATAGCACATTTGGCTACCTTATTATAGGAAATTAACGCTCCATGAAATTAACGCGAATCGTTAAAATTCGCGTTAATTTTATTGAGCGTTAATTTCCGCGACGTTAATTAAGTGCAGCGTTAATTTGCTAGCTCTTAACTTCCAGTATTTTAACCCAAATTTTGGAACCTGTCCAAACATTCTTGACACCTAAAAAACATTAACTACAAGCTTTCTTTCTTTCCGTTTACCCTTTATTTTTCATCTTTCACAAAAGCTAAGGCGAAGGTTTACAATATTTCGAGTTCATCTTCATCGTTGTCGCTGTCAGAAGAGATGTCAATATCTTCTTCTTTGATTTCGGCCAAGTTAATCGCGTTAATTTCCTTTATTATGAAATTCTACCTCCTCTTTCGCGTTAATTTTCTTTATTCTTAAGTCGTTTGCCATTAAATTCGCGTTATTCCCATACCTTAATTTCATGGAGCGTTAATTTCCTGTAATAAGGTATTTCGAAGGAACCGCGTGGAACAACCAAATTATGCACTGATGAAGCACGCGTGGACGCCGCGCCTGCGGTCTCCTACCCGGTATATGGCTCCTGGTACAGCAGATTTCGAGGGAGAATTTAAAGTATATTTTATTTGTTGGTTAATGATTAACAAATGCCAGCCTATAAACCCTTTAACACGCCAAAGGAGTCGCGAGTGTGAGGGGTTGGGAAAGAAAGGGAGAGCCATGGCGGACATCCGCTCTGGGGAGAGCTTTCCTCCGCCCGCGCCCCTCGAGTCGCGGCTAGTCGCGGCTCCCTTCCCTCCCCTGAATAAGAGATTCCACTGAATTTGAACCGCGCGGGAACTGGGTTAGATTCAGTGAGAGGACATTCCCTGCGAATTACACGACAGTTTTCCTAATGTATTTTGAAGTAAGGTATAGTGTTGTCGATGGATTTTCTTCTCGCAGAAATCAACAGAAAAAGTAAACAGATCGAACAAAATGAAGTCACATCGGTGAGTATATTAAGTTTGTGACCAACAGTTATTTTGATAGTGAAAGGTGTTGTAGTTCAAAGCGAGCATCAATCGATTTATGACTGTGACTCGAGGTGCATGAACATTTGCATTTAACCTTACAATGTAATCGTAGTTAAGCTTATGTTTTCAGTTTGTAAGCTGAACAGAAATAATTTGACACTCTTAGCTGTTTAAAATGATTCGAGTGTCAAACTGAAAGTATATTAAGACGAATGCTACTTGCATAATGAATGAAATTGCTTTGTTGAAATTCGTGTGTCGACCATCCATAAGGCAAGGCTTATGGAGATAAAATGTAGCATGACGTTGAGTTATTTAAGGTACCTTCATCAGTAGTGCTCCTTTGTTTAAACTAGAACACCAAGTCAGAGACTAGTGGGACTGAACAAAGAGAAATGAGTTACAAATGCAACTATATAATACAGACAAAATTATTAAACGTCACAGTTCAGACTCTTGTAGTAAAAGTCTGCAATGGAAAACTTTTTCCGTTTTTGCATAGCCTGATATAAACACGAGAGGGTTGGGAGAATTCGAGACAGTTATGCAAACCNTCGATGGATTTTCTTCTCGCAGAAATCAACAGAAAAAGTAAACAGATCGAACAAAATGAAGTCACATCGGTGAGTATATTAAGTTTGTGACCAACAGTTATTTTGATAGTGAAAGGTGTTGTAGTTCAAAGCGAGCATCAATCGATTTATGACTGTGACTCGAGGTGCATGAACATTTGCATTTAACCTTACAATGTAATCGTAGTTAAGCTTATGTTTTCAGTTTGTAAGCTGAACAGAAATAATTTGACACTCTTAGCTGTTTAAAATGATTCGAGTGTCAAACTGAAAGTATATTAAGACGAATGCTACTTGCATAATGAATGAAATTGCTTTGTTGAAATTCGTGTGTCGACCATCCATAAGGCAAGGCTTATGGAGATAAAATGTAGCATGACGTTGAGTTATTTAAGGTACCTTCATCAGTAGTGCTCCTTTGTTTAAACTAGAACACCAAGTCAGAGACTAGTGGGACTGAACAAAGAGAAATGAGTTACAAATGCAACTATATAATACAGACAAAATTATTAAACGTCACAGTTCAGACTCTTGTAGTAAAAGTCTGCAATGGAAAACTTTTTCCGTTTTTGCATAGCCTGATATAAACACGAGAGGGTTGGGAGAATTCGAGACAGTTATGCAAACCCGAGACGAAGTTAAGGGTTTGTATAACCGTTGAGAATTCTCCCAACCCCTCGAGTGTTTATATCAGGCTATGCAAATACAGGAAAAAGTTTTCTATTGCTTTTATAAATTAACTTCCCTGAGAAAAAAAAACAAAACTCTTTGTTATCGCACTGATTAAAAAAGAAATTCTTACCATTCGCGAAGTCTTGTACATGAAGCCTTGCATGTGTAATCAGTTCTTGTTTTTCAAAAAAGATCCTTTCCAAAATATGGATTTTTTGCACTTGAAATGTCAACTTTTAAAAGTGAAAATTATTGACACAGCATATTTGGAAAGATTTTCCAATTTTCAGCGGACGAGGCAATGGGTAAATAAAGTAAACTTGTAGAGTTGTCAACTCAAAAATTATTTCAAATTGGTGCTTGTGTTATTAGTGCACGAAAAGCAAAACATTTTGTTGTCACAACCTTGTTTACATACTCTCATGCAAACATACCTCTCGGCCAATCAGAGTGCAGGTACTATCTTAGTTATTGTATAAAAATAATATAGATATTGTAAGCAGTATCTGTTGTAGATGTTGTGGTTTAATTTTAGCCTTGGTTTAAATTTTATTTCCCTTTGTTGTTGGGTATGGTATGATAATGAGTTTGAAACGAAGGAAAATAAAATTTAAACCAATTTTAATATTTATGAAAAACTACAACATACTTAGGTAAAAATCCATTTTCAGGTTAAATCAGGATTCCCTTTGTCCCCTATTAATAATAATACTACAGCTCAGAATCAAACAAGGTTAAAAATATTGTATTAATATGAGAACAGCTGTTACCTACATGCTGCTCCTTGGTTTAACTTACTTGTACCAAGTACAGTCTAAACAGCGTTTTTTCTGTATTTATTTTTAGAATAAGAAGTACTTTAGAAGAGGTGACCTAGCAGCAAAACAAGCAGAGGAATACAAGAAGAAACAAGAGGTTCAGTGTTAACATGGCTACTGTATTTATTTGATTAGGTTCCCTGGGGGTATTAAACTTTTGGGCCTTAAGTGTGAGTGCTTATTCAAGGCTGGGGGCAGGGGCGTAGCCAAGATTTTTCAAAGGGGGGGTCACAGAGGCTACTCACCAGATTGTCATGTCGACCTCCACGCCCATATTAAGAAGAAGACAAGAGCCATTGACGAAAATGCTTTACAAAAAAACAAATTGTAAAAAAGTGGGCTTTTTAACAATGGCTTTTACCACCAAGATATTGTCTGTTTGCTCAAAACAAGGCCTACTTAGGGGGGGTCACGGGCACCCCAGGACCCCCCCTAGCTACGCCCCTGGCTGGGGGCTTGTTAAATTTTTATTATTTTGAGCATGTATTAAGTTAGTTTTATAATAAAACAGTAAATAATAACAAAATGTGAAGATGTGCCAGAGCAGAGTTTTAACTGTTCATCGAAAGTTTGTTTTAAAAATGGCTTTAAAGAAAACTTTCTCTTCGGAGAATTCTGCAAATGGGTCAGTTGAAAAGAACCAATAAAAACTTAAGTGGACAATAAAAGTATTGGTCATTATTTCTTTACTGCCCAATCTGAGATGGGGCAGTAAAGAAATAATCACCAATACTTTTATTGTCCACTTAGGTTTTTTTGGGGGGGAGGGTGGTCAGTAAAACATCAGAAAGCCCCTTTAGTGCCTCAACTAAGTGTCTCAACTAATTTTGTCACCAATTGTAGGTTAAAAAAAATTTTAACCTGTCTTTGTGTTTTGTGCTGATAATAGTAATTTATAGTGAAAAGCTTTGACTGCCCCACTGGGTTTTAGCTACTCTGTCAGAGTACTTCCTATACAATATAATATTCATTTTAATTTCTTTCAGGCAAAACTGGCAGGTGCCACTCAACGTCAGACAGAATTCTATCTTATTTTCATGAGAAATTCTTGATCATGAGATCTAGCTATAACGTAAAGGATGTAGGGGCAAGAGACAAGGGTACTGATCATCAGATCTGGAGGAGCTACAAAAGTGGACAGAAGTCGTTGAGACAGTTATGCAATATTGCCCCCCTTCAAGTACCTGAGTGTAATTTCAGCATGCCCTTATAAAGCTGCGCTATGTTTTTGACAAAGGTTTTGCAGATCTCTCTCCCTCAACCTGCTGTATGTAATGCTATATAGGTACATTGTACATGTACATAGCACACAAACAATCAGGGACAAAAGTCCTTGTGATAGTCGTGTAGTATTCGTTCTTACCTGTAATTTCAGGATGCCTTCTTAAAGCAGTGCTACTTTTTTTTACAAATGCCTTGCATGTCTCCTTCCCACACCCTATGCAACGATATTATTTGTTAAAAGTTAGGACAATTATGTTCGATGCATGGGTTTTTTACATTGTAAGTGAGATGTGAAAGGGGATTTGCATGTGTAGTTTAAAAAAAGCGCAACTAGTACAAATTTGTCCATGATTTTAGGTTCGAGCCTTGCCTTGATCACTAGCCACAGTTTTTTTCCCGGTAGACCCAATTTCAATTTGTGTTACACGGTTTTTGATATTCAACTCTAGGCCTCCATCCTCCAAACAGGGATCTTAGCCTTGTTGTAGTTAGTTGTTAATGACATTAATGCTTTCATTCCTAATAGGGGCTTATTATAAGTAAAAAGAATTCACAAAAAGTCTCATGGTGGCATTTTAGCCCGGGGGGGGGGGGGTTACTCCCCTATTTGGGCTTTTAAATTGGGTTGGTGCCCGTGGGAGGGGTATGGTTTTTAAGCATTTTACTTTAGGAAGGGGGTTAAAAAACAAAACATTTTTTGGGAAACTGATAAGTGGGTTGAAGATTTTTTTTTAACAGGGGAAAAACCTCACTAGGGTTGGGGGGGGGCAGGGAAGGGGGGGGGGAGGGGAAGAGGGGTAGTACAGGGGGT